GAGACGGGGTTTCACCATGTTGACCAGGATGGTCTTGATCTCTTGACCTTGTGATCCACCCACCTTGGCCTCCCAAAGTGCTGGGATTACAGGCTTGAGCCACCGCGCCCGGCTGTTTCTAAATTTTTTTTTTGGAGCGAGTCTTGCTCTGTCGCCCAGACTGGGGTACAGATGCAGTCTTGGCTCACTGCAACCTCCGCCTCCCGGACTCAGCCTCCAGAGTAGCTGGGACTACAGGCGTGCGACACCAAGCCTGGCTATTCTTTTTCTTGTTGTTTTTTTGTATTTTTGGTAGAGTGGAGTCGGGGTTTCCTCAAGTTGGCCAGGCTGCTCTGGAATTCCTGGCCTCAAGTGATCCGCCCACCTCGGCCTTCCAAAGTGCTGGGATTACAGGTTTGAGCCAACGCGCCGGCCTTCTCCAGCATTTCTGCACGTATCTTGGTGCACACCTTTGCACGCCATCTTATTAACTGTGTTTATCCTACTGCTGCACGTGCCTTTCGGCCACGGCATCCAGATGGTGCGGGTGCTGCCCACCCCGGCTGGCGGCAGATAAGGAGCCGATGCCCTCACTGGTGCTGGGCGGGGAGGCCGCTTTACTCTGAGGGAAGGGGCGGTGTTGGCAGGGGAGGGCGGAGGGCGCAGGCCCTCAGGGAGGGGGCGGGTCGCCCGGGCCACGTGGTGCCGGCCCTCGGCTGTAGCCCGGCTGAGGTCCCGGGGGCTCGGGGTTGGGAGGGAAGGCGCGGAGCCAACAGGTCCCAAGGAGCCTTCGGGCAGGGGGGCCTCGCGGCGGCCGGGCCGGACTCCTGGCCGCAGCAGGGGTCGCATGGGCGCCGCCGTCAGGAGCTGCGCGAGGTGCCCAGGGCCACGTGTTGGCGCCTAGCGGCCCCGGGGCCGCCGGCAGGTGCGGAGCGGAGACGCCCACCTGGGTGCCCTGGGCCGCGTGGCGGACAGCGGGGCCGGGCACCCCTGCTCCTCCTCGGGCTCCGATCCGCTGCGGCCCTGGGTGCTGGGTGCCGCCCGCCACCCGCCGCCCGCCGCCCGCCGCCCGCCGGAAGGAGAGGGGCGTGTCCTTCCCCGCCCCCGGGCGCGGCCAATCAGCGCGCGCGGCTCATGAATAGTGAGCGCGCTGGCCCCGCCCCGCCCCGCCTCCCGCGGCACCGCCCGCCCGCGCAGACCCCGAGCGCGGCCGCGGACGAAGATGGCGACCGCCATGTACTTGGAGCACTATCTGGACAGTAAGCGCGCCCCACGGGCCCCGCGCCCGCCGCCCGCGCGGAGCCCCCCGTGCTGCGACCCCTCTCGCGCCGGGCGCCGCATGCAGACCCTGTGGGCTCGGGAGGGCGGCGGGTGCGGCCGGCTGTGGCGCGTAGCGCGCGACGGGGCGGGGCCGGGCCCTCTAGGGAGAGGAGGGCGCGGGGGGCGGGTTGCGGGGTCCGGCCGGCTCGGCCGCGCCAATTCCAGGTGCGTCACGGCGGGGCGGGATCGGACGGCGTGGGGCGGGGCTTGCGAGCTCGGCCCCGCCCACATAGACCACGCCCCTCAGGCCCCGCCCCAGCTCCGGCCCCGTCCCGTCTAGTCTGGAGCCCGCTCCGCTTCGGGAGCTCCGGGGCCTCGGTCCTCCCTGGCTGCGCTCCCGTGTGACCGCCGCTGGGGAGGGCGGTCGGGCCGCGGGGAGTCTCTCCCCGGCTCTGGGGACTGCGCCGCGGAGGCGGGGAGGGCGGTGCTCTGTTTGCAGGTGGCAGCTGGTGGCTCCAGCGGCTGAGCCCAGGGTGCTTCCCCTCACCCCACTTCACAGACCGGGGAAGGTCCTGCGCGGCCCAGCAAATTCTCAGGGTGCCCCGCGCTTGGAGGGGCAGAGCCCACGCAGGACCCTTCACGTCGCCCCGGGATGGGCACAGCTTTGGGGTCGCGGTGGTTGGGGTGGTGCCGAATGGCTCTGGAGGGCCCTCGTGGGGGCGCTGCACGGGGGATCCTCATGGGCCCCGGCCTGGCCACTCAGGTTCCCGCCCAGGGGCTGAGACAGTGGCGAGTGGGCCGTGGCATGGAGCTGGAGACCCCTGCCCTAGAGGGATGCCCGGTTCTGCCCATGTGCTCTGCATCTTGTGGGGGGGGGCCCGGGGTGCAAGGGTCAAAGTAGGGCACATGCTGGAAGGACGGCCTTCTCCATCTTGGTGCCCACCCAGCGGGCTGGGCTCCCAAGGAGGGTTGACTGTGCGTGCTCCGGAGGCTGTGCCAGCCGGGAGGCGGTGCAGTTGTCCTCTAGGAGAGCTGGGAAAACGCTGGTGCTGGAGGCATCAGATGCCTAAGATAGAGTCAGGCAGATGGGAGGGTGGCCGAGACTGCAGAGGACAGCCCCCCTCAGCAGCCTGTGTTGGCTGTGCAGGGGGCGGAGGTTGACCTGGTCTACGGGACAAAATGGGGAGAAAACAGCACTGGGGTCCTCTCGGCAGACTGTCGGGAATGGTCGCGCTAGCAGCAGGGACTATTTAACTTTAAGTCAAATTAAAAATTCAGTTGCATTAGTCCTATTTCCAGTGCCCACTGGTTCTGTATGGCCACCACTTTCTTGGGCAGCTCAGAGAGAGAACATTTTTCTTTTTTTTTTTTTTTTTAATGGAGTCTCACTCTGTTGCCCAGACTGAAGAGCCTGATCTCAGCACACTGCAACCTCCGCCTCCCAGGTTCAAGCAATTCTCATGCCTTAGCCTCCCAAGTAGCCAGGACTGTAGGTGTGTACCACCATGCCAAGCTAATTTTTGTATTCTTAGTAGAGACTGGGTTTCACCATGTTGGCCAGGCTGGTCTTGAACTGCTGACCTCAAGTGATTTGCCTGCCTCGGCTTCCCGAAGTGCTGGGATTACAGGCATGAGCCACTGCGCCCAGCCAAGAGAGAGAACATTTCTATCCTTGCATAAAGTCCCATGGGCAGCATGGCTACACTGCTCGATGCACTGGATTTCTGGGTAAAGTGGGGGAAGATCAAGGAGGACCCAGGGGATTTTAGCTTGAGCCTTGGAGGATGCTGCTCACTGAGGCGGGGTAGCCTAGAGGGTGGACCCTGGTGGAGGCCAGGTGACCTCCCCTACCTCTGCTGTTGGTTTCTAAGTTTCCTTCTGCCTTTTTTGACTTCTGACAGCTTCTGAAGAGTGTTAGCCTCTTGTCAGCACTATTTGGTACCTGAGTCTAAAAATGAATCACAATCCTGCTCTCCAAACCCTAACAGAAACAGAAGACAGAGTGGGCTTGTCAGTTTAGACTTTAGATATAAAACTTGGATCAGGCACGCTGGCTCATGCCTGTAATCCCAGCAGAGAGACTGAGGCGGGTGGATCACCTGAGGTCAGGAGTTCCAGACCAGCCTGACCAACATGGTGAAACCCCATCTCTATTAAAAATACAAAAATTGGCTGTGTGTGGTGGCTGTAATCCCAGCTGCTTAGGAGGCTGAGGCATGAGAATTGCTTGAACCCAGGAGGCAGAGGTTACAAGGAGCTACTGCACTCCAGCCCCGGGAACAAGAGTGAAACACTGTCTCAAAAAAAAAAAAAAAAGACAAAAAGCTTTGGAGATGGGTTTTGATCGTGCCGCTGAAAGGTACATGGCTTCCATGTTTTTGTGTTTTAGGCATCGAGAACCTTCCCTGCGAACTTCAGAGGAACTTCCAGCTGATGCGAGAGCTGGACCAGAGGACGGAAGGTGGGTTCAGGCCTCTTGGTACAACCAGAGCTGGGTTCTGACAGCTGGGAGTGAGGAGCACCTGAAGGCCAGGGGCAGAGGGTTTTGAGGGGACCCAGGTTAGTGGGGGCGGCGGCTGAGCCCTAGGCTCTGGGGATCGCACAGTGCCTTGCAGTAGGTGTTGATACTTCAAAGCCACGTTTAGTTTTTTGGTTTCTTAGACATCTTCACATCATGTTTTTATAACCATCACCCTTTCCAGTCAAATATTTATTGCCTTTTTTTCTTTTAAAAGTTTTCCATTTTCAGAGTGTGTGCATCGTTTTAAAAGTTTGGTAGTACTTTCTGGCCTTTGGTATTTAACTCCCTGTTTCTAAACAACATGTTTTTGTTGCCGTTCCTTAGTTTATCTGTCGTCAGTTGTAGACTTAGTTCAGCGTGTATGGCACATGCAGCCGTACTCTCCAGCCGCCCCAGCTCACGGGCATACACTTTGCTCCCCCATCTTCTGGCGGTTAGAATTTGTGGTGGGACCAGTGACGGGCCCTCCATTGGGCAGCTGTGTAGGCACTTCCACACGGAGCCATACCGCCTGCTGTGCAAAAATGACCCCTTTTGAATCACTTTGCATATTTCTTGGAGTTACTCATTCCTTGTTTGTTGGCTTTGTTTTCTGTATTCCACCCTGGCCTCCCTGCCTGCTCCTCCGTGTGGTCTGTCAGGCTGTCTACCCTGACAGCTCCGTGCGTGCTTTCTTTCCTCGGAGCCCTCTGTCTTGGAGGCCATGCTCCTGATTGTTTCTACACCTACTGCACACTTGTTAGCCTGGGGTTTTCTTGGGATCTCCTTTCACCCCTCTTCCCTGAATTTTAAATGTCTTTTTTTTTTTTTTTTTT